AAAAAAGAGAGTGTTCTTTCAATTGATCAGAGCAGGACACACTTAGAAAGTCTCTGGATGAGCTTAATTTATATTTCTGGACTCAAATCAATGAAATAACAGTTCTTGTTCCAGGAAGGCCCTCAGGGCCAGATTTTGACCTGAGGCTTAGTTCACTACACTGGGACAGGCCATAATAATGTGTTTAATGTGCGGGCCGAGTCGGTGTCCTGGCTTTTTATTGCATCAGGGATGTGCACAGCCAAAGATCCAAATATATGCTAACATGGCTTGCCATACATTCACCTGCCGAATGCTGCTATTTCACCGTGCGCTGACTGGCTGGTTGAAAGTGGTAAAAAGTTCAGTTAAGCTTCAGATGGACTACTGCCATTGATCCATCAGCCCAAATGGACGTTCATTCAGCCCCGGCACTCAGCGGACACGTGCAGCCGACGACCCAAACAGGTGAGATTCCAAAATATCTGACATGTCAGGGCAGGGTCCAATACAAACAGAAGCAGGTGAAGCATTTAATGCACTTTGATGGCTCCTCAGCTCCGATCTTCTGCCCCCTTTACTCAGCCGCATGCATCTGCCAACCGTTAATAATATTCGATGGTACAAGCAGTCAAAGCTTAATTAAAAATGTCGGGGGGGGGGGGTCAGGTTTGGACCTGTGATTACTATTAATTCGTCGAATTGGGTGGGGTTGGGAGATGATGGCTGTGGGCTGGGGCCGGGTCAGGTCGGATTTGTTTGACCCGAGTGCAACTCTACTCCAGATCCAGCTTTCCCTCATTTATAGCAGCCTGCCAATCTGTACATGAAAACAGTCCTGCAGTACAGAGTCACTTCCGCTGGCCGTGATGTTTTTTTGTTGATCTGGAACGTCTCAGCGGGGAGAGGTGGACAAGGGCCAGAAAGATGGAGATGGGGTCAGATCTATCCATACGTTCATTTCATACTTTCATCAATCCATGCTTTCAGATTATCCTGTCATTTTTTCATGCATTCAATTCATCCTGTCTTCTATCCATGCTTTCAATTCATCCTGTCATGTATCCATGAAACTTCCGGTAAGATGGTGCCCGTGTACATGGCTTGCAATCCACCTCTGCTGACGGTGTTTGGATTATTTGTGTTTTGTTCATTTTTCATGTGGGACATAAACTCGCTACTGGTGTATGATCCACAACAGCTTCTGGATCTTCGATTTTGTGCCGCCGGTGTTGCTTGTTTGGATCAATATGAGCGTAATGCTGGACCCCCCCTCCCTTTCCCCTACTGCTGGCGGATGTGCCTGTTTACCTTCGCTGCACTCTCACATGCCTGCCCGGAGATGTCACTCCAGATGCCAAGGAACGCGTGCTGGCCGGCTGGTGAAGCTTAAAGCCCTGCATACTGCATCTTCCTCTCCAGCTAGTGGTCGTGGTTTCCATCGCCAGCTTCCCGCGCGCCCGGACCAGGTAAACAATGGGAGTGTCGGCTGGCGAGGTGCACGGGCCGACGTGGAGGGGCTGTTATCGAAAATCTGCGGCCGCAGACTTTAAATGGGGGGTTCCGCAGGGGTCCATCCTGGGTCCCCTCATATTCACTTTATACCTGGTGCCACTTGGTGCTATTTTCCAGAATCATAACATACATTTTCACTTCTACGCCAATGACTGTCAAATTTACTTCCCCCTAAGACACAATGGTATATGCTCTATTCATCCTCTGCTCGACTGACTGGATGACATCAGGGATTGGATGGCTTTAAATTTCTTAAGTTACAATGAAAAGAAGTCTGAAATCATGTCTGAAGTCAGCACTGGTTGGCCTTGTTGCTGTTTTAAGTGCTTTATAAATAAAGTGGTATGGTATGGTATGGTATGGTATGGTATGGTATGGTATGGTATGTTGTTCCCTCCCAAC